GAGAACAAAAGGGATCCTTCATAAAAAAAAAAATATTTAAAAAAGACCTCGGCCTTTAAGAAATCGATATCTCGACACAGTTTTTAATGATCGCATTGGACTTGAAATCAATCTGATAAGTTATAGGAAAGTATTATTGATCAGTGTGATTGCAGCGTTTCTCAAGTCTGTTTTTTTTTTTCCAACGGAGGATCGGATATTTTTTGTCACTGGAGTTAAATGTACGATCATATGAAACTGTATGTACCACTCACTTAAGATCTGGTTTCATATTGATACAGGTATACAAATAAATCAAGGAAGTGACGATTACCGATCATGACAACGTAATTTACCAAACTCCCATTAAAAATTAATTACGCCAGTGTTTAAACAAGTAAGGAAAAAGTGTTTACTTAATAACAAAGAGGTTAATTTGAAATTTGATTGCTAGTTGTGAGTAGGGTTCACCCAATGATTGATGGGAAGTGGTGTCGATGATTGTGAGTAGGGTCCACCCAGGGACCCATGGGAAGGGGGTGGGTGATGCTTGGTCCCAATTCTTAATCTTGAATCTTAAAGTCCCAACGCTTATTCCCTCCTCTGAATCACTACTATTTAAATAGTGCGGCGAGATGCTTTTGCTTCGCATGTATCCTCCACTTGACCACGTGACCATCATTTTATTTGGGGATGACTCCCTAACCCTAACCCTAACCCTAACCAGGTGAATAATTCACAGCAAATCAATTTAAGGGTCAGGATATTTTAAAGAGTAATTCACCTAGGCTGGGGTACCGCGCTCTATACGACAACTTTACGCTATATACGACCACTTTACACTATATAAGACCACTTTAATCATAATAATTCAAAAAAGACTCATGACGTTAGATATATAAATAAGACACAAACAATTTGTGGAATTAAAACAGTACATGACATCTACAATGATGGGTGCAAAAAACAGAGTTGAAAGTGTTTCATGAGTGCTATTAAGTACGCACAAGGCTTAGCACAGTCCAACCCTCTCACAACGTCAAGTACGACACAGAAAATGTGTACATGTTTTTGAGAGATTTGTTGGTAAAAATAGAACAGGGATTCAAGAAAAATCACCAAAGCTATTCCCGACGGAACACGCTTTGAGGACCATTGCGATATTCGACGAGGGCCCGCATATACCGTGCAGCTGTATACACTCTGACCAGGCCACTGAAAGAAGTGTTTATCATTTATTTACCAGCTTGTTAACAAGGTATTTTTTTAATGAGATACTGTACTATATCCTTTAATTGTTCGATTTCAGTGCATATATTGATGAGACAAACACCATCCGACACATGATTACTATCACCAGAGCTTAATGAGGCTGGCCTCGTTCCCGTGCCGCGGTGCAGTGCGTGACCTACATCAGGGTGCCCAGGTTTGTAAACATAACAGTGTTTATGTGTTGTGTGGCTGTAGTGTCACATTGTGTGGAGGCTTCACATCGCGTCATAATGCAACGGAGTCAGTTGTGCATCGACCACTAACTTACTCACGGTAAGTGCAGGTGCATGAGCGACACGTGTCGATCTGAGATTTACATCGTTTTGCTACGGGCGTGACTAGGGTGTCTAGTTAGTCTAGTTGCCAAGGCCGGGTACAGCATACGGTCTCCTGCACTTTGGTTCGATAATGTACGCATGGCATTCGGTTACGGGTAAAGACGAATTTGTCGTAGAGGGTAATGACGAATGTGTTGCGAAGCAAAAAAGTAAAAAAATAAATACATTAGCAACCTTAAAAAAATAAATGCAATTTAGCTACATTTGTGGGTGTGTGTTTGTTTGTTTTTTTTTATGGGGGGGGGGGTGTGGGAATAGGGCGGAGATGAGAAGGGTTTGTTCCCCAAATTTACCAACCTTTTACACCCCAATCGCTATTCTATCTTACAGTTTAGAGAAGACCAAAGTCTGCCTACAAATGTTTGACCTTACATTCACAATGGCCCAGCACATGGGACTGCTGAAGTCTAGTATCTTGTAAACACTCCCCTCCCATTGTCACCGTGTGAGTAACATGTTTAAAAAGTTGTATGTTCCCAAGGCTATGCTGCACCAAGTGACCTAGAAGTACCGGAGGATTACGTCCCCATACACCTACGGGTGTACCTAGTGGGGGGGAGGGGGTTGCCATGTGAGTGACCGCCCAGGGAGGCCATTTTTCATTTATGACATAGACCTAACATTTTTTTAAATAAATTTACGTGTGTGTATTAGGGTGGCACACTTTAAGGAGTTCTCACCGAGATGCATGTCATCAGAGTACTCCATCGCTTTCCCCCACTCCCACAAGTTACTGTACGTTTAGTTCATCACTGCTCTCATCCAAAGACGACAGTCTTCTGCTCTCACCCAAAGACGACAGTCTTCTGCTCTCACCCAAAGACGACAGTCTCCCAGAACACATTTAATAGAGTTTGTAATTTAACTTCGGAAATCTATTAATAGAATATCCGGGCGCGCAGTCTGGCCAATCTCGTTAAGATATTGATAAAACATCCTGGTATTTCGTTCGGCCAAATCTCTCAACAGCTGTTTTGGTACTGCTACGTTAAGGTGAGCCGTCGTAGTGGGTCCTGACCGAGACGAAAACGTGTTGACAACTTTACTGCCCCAAAGATTAGACAAGCAAATTGTTACTGCAATATATATACACGGAAATACATTTTTAGAAGCTATGAATTACGAAAACATTGTCTAAAAATAGTAACATTACCAAATTCGATGTGACGATTTTCTGTCTTAGAAATTACAAATCCTACATCAAATCAAGACCCCCCCCCCTCTCCCCCACCCACCCACCAACCAAAAAAATTAATCCCTTGTCGCTGAGCCCCAAGATCTCAATTGTATTTAGGTGAATCAGGTATTGGAATGTTCAATGGTGAAAGGTTGTAGTAATTTACCCTCAACGTACCAATCACCGTTCAGGACCATAGCTGTTGACCTGAACTTTGTTTTCAGTGACAGTGCAAAAAGGGAAGAAAAGTCTTTGGGTCTAGAGAATAGACAAGTGGTTCTCAACCTTCCCAATGCCGTGACCCTTTAATACAGTTTCTCATGTTGAGGTGACCCCCAACCATAAAATTATTTTCGTTGCTACTTCTTAAATATGTTTTCCAAAAGTCTTAGGCGACCCCTATATAATGGTCATTCGACCCCCAAAGGGGTCGCGACACACAGGTTGAGAACCGCTGGTCTAGACGCTTGTGTGTGTATGTGTTATTGGTTGTTAACAGAAACTCCGTTGCATTTTAAAAAAAAAAAAAGGATTATGCTTGTGTGTTTAATTCTTGATCAACTGTTTTTAATTAATTGTTTTGTTTTTTAGCTTTTAGTTATTCTTTATCAAAACATAATAATAATTTATTAAATTTGTGTGTGTCCAAAACTTTCAGATAAAATTACTAATTGGTAGCAGTTCACCGGATCAGGTTTTTTCCTCCACTAAAATGGGTAGTGGTGACACTCGAGTAGTGCTAGACGATTACAACTCGGACCTCAACATCATTATAGCAAAGAACGGCTACTCGGCGTCGACGCTCAACAGCCCCAGGGGGTTCCGACTACTGTGGGGCGGCGTCCGCGCCACGCACGGCGTCTGCAGGGGGAAAGTCTTTTTCGAGGTCAGGGTCACCGAACACCTCGACCCCGGCATCGGGGAAGGATTCAGCGAGCCCCACCCAAACATGGTCAGGGTCGGCTGGTCGGCAGACAGCCCGCTGTTCACCTTGGGGGAGAGCCAACGCTCCTACGGCTACGGGGGCGCCGGGAAGTCGTCCCACGACAGCAGGTTTCAGGACTACGGCGAGCCTTTCGGGCATGGTGACGTGATCGGAGCCATGTTGGATCTCGATTCGAATCCGGGAAGTATCTCCTTCACGAAGAACGGACGATTTTTAGGCATCGCCTTCGCTGTGCGGGACGTTCGCCGTGGGGATAGGACCGCAGCGCTATTCCCACACATTGCGTGCAAGAACGCCATGTTTAAAACGAACTTCGGCCAGGAGGCGCCATGGTCGAGACTTCCGGCCGGGTACACTTTCATCGGAAACATGGCGCCAAAAGACAGGGTGAGGGGGCTAGCGCCGCCGGCGTTGAGGTCCAGCTGCGAAATGATCATGGTCATCGGCCTCCCCGGATGCGGGAAGACCACGTGGTCGCACCAAAAACAGACCGACCACCCGGGGAAGCGCTACAACATCCTTGGCACTGACATCCTCATCGATCAAATCCGACTCATGGGCGTGTCCCGGTACCGCAGCTACTCGGCGAGGTGGGAGCTTTTCATCGACATAGCCACGGAATGTCTGGACGCCCTCTTGCCGACGGCAGCGTCTAAAAACCGGAACTACATTCTTGATCAGACAAACGTGTATCCTTCCGCGCGGCAGAGGAAGATGGAGCATTTCTCCGGGTTTCACCGAATAGCCGCCGTGCTGCAGCCGGAGATACAGCAGTACGAACAGCGGGCCAGCAGGAGGACCCGAGAGACCGGGAAAAGAATTCCGTCAAAGGCGCTGAAAAAAATGAAGGCGAACTTCATCTTGCCGGAGCCGAGGGACGCCCTTTTCGACCGCATTGATTACATCGAGCTGGACAGTGAGCGGGCACACAAGCTGGTCATCCGCTTCAACAGGGAGAACATTTGAAAATTGGGTCCAAACAAAAAACAAAGAAAAAAAAAATACGAACTTTAATTTCCACAGGCGACTAGAAGATCATATTTCAAACACTGAATTGCAACTCTAGAACGATTAAGTGGGGTACAATACTTTCTATGTCGCTTAGTTGATATGAAGAGCGAATTTCATAATCATCAACCACCCCCACCTCATAGTCCCCCACCCCCAAGGTGCAGTTATTAATTTGTTTGTATCTTGTTTGCATCTAGTTGTTGTTGGAGGAAGGTGGGGGGGGGGAGCGGGGTGCGGGGGTCGTCCAGTTAAGGTGAAAGCGTTTTGTTTTGTTTTCACTCTGAGTCAAAACCACCCGCTCGAGATCTCGTCCGACCATTTTTATATTTTCTTTATTTCTTTGTATCTATGTTAACATTTCGTTGAACGTTTACACTTATGGGGGAGGGGGGCATCATCAGTGACCAGGTGCAGTGGGCGACATGTTAGGGGAAGCAAATTAAAAGACCAGGGTGGAATTCGTGATAAACGTTCAAATTGAGTCCACAACATTGACGTGAGGAGACAGACATAGAACGCCATAAAATTGTCTCACCACGCAGGGGCCGGCGCTAGGGCATGGCGCAGTGGGCGACCGCACAAGGTCACGAGTTTGAGGGGCCCCGCGCGTTGCCGTAGTAGATTTAAAATAGTCCTAATATCTAAAAAAAAATTTTTTTGAATATCGACATATAAACATCTGCTATTGGAATATCGACATATAAACATCTGTTAGTGGATATCGACATATAAACATCTGTTAGTGGATATCGACATATAAACATCTGTTAGTGGATATCGACATATAAACATCTGTTAGTGGATATCGACATATAAACATCTGTTAGTGGATATCGACATATAAACATCTGATCTGTTAGTGGATATCGACATATAAACATCTGATCTGTTAGTGGATATCGACATATAAACATCTGTTAGTGGATATCGACATATAAACATCTGTTAGTGGATATCGACATATAAACATCTGTTAATGTTAATAAACCTGTTTCGTCGTTTCTGCGTCGCTTTCCAAAAAAAACAACAAAAAAAAACAAACAACAAGACTTGACTACATTGGTTTTTTGTTAATATTGTCAACACTATTATCATTTTAAGAATAAACATCTTTCTATACGAACACTCGGTCGATTTGCTTTCCTTATTGAAATGTAATTGTTGTTAGCTGGTTTGTTTCTTTCTTTCAAAGTTTTGTTTTTTTCGTACAAAATCTTAATGTTTTTTTTTAATTTTCAAAGGAGGTTCGTCAAACTACGTCCCGCGGGCCGGATCCGGCCTCCAGATGTTGTGGTAGGTCCACCCGCCTGACTGGCGGGATACAACCTGGCTGGCAGCGACAGATATGGAACCGTACATTGACATCTCTCATTAGACCTACTTTTCTTTGAAAAACTTGGAAGTCTATGCTGGAGATACAACGTTTGAGACGCGTTGACCCGCCTTTGAGTCTAATGTCTTTATTTTCCCTTTGCTGTCAAGCTCCACATTAAGTTTTGACTAAAGATACAACTTCCTCTTAGCATTAATGCCCACCTTCCTATTTAATGTATTATAATATTGTAATATTTTGGTCAAAGAAACCGCTTCTAACGAATCGTGTCCCACAAACCTCTTTCCCATCAGTAAGCAACATCCTTAAAACATTATTTCCGCCTCATCATGCACATGTGTTAGCACTGGATCGCATTGCACAGCCACAGTGCATGAAATTCATTGGGCAAGTGCGCACAGTGTAGCTACACGATTAGTGACGCAGAGAAAGGGGAGAAAACTCAAGTCTATGCCCATGAGATCTATTTTTAGCGTCGACCTGGTTTCCAAGAACCGGACCGAGTTTTCTCGCTAAGTGCGACTAACTTGAACCCGTCTGACAGGGCGGGCGTATGAGAGTTCATAGGTCAAAGTCTATGCTATGTAATGCAATATGTATGCTGGTCCTCAACATATTGTTTAAATTGATGCATAGCAATAAGGAACCTAGCTTTTTTTCCCTGAAAATATGATTCTTTATAACTGTTAAGTCATGATATGTTATCATCCCGCCCACTAAATCCGTTATTGGTACAGTGGTTCTTAAATTTTACTAGCAGCTGGACTTTATATTTGAATAATGGGTCAACAACAGTGGGGTTGAGTGAGAGAGAGAGAGAGAGGGGAGGAGAGAGAGAAAGAGAAGGAAAGACAGAAAGAAAAAAGAAAGGGAGAGAGAGAGAGAGACAGAGTGAGAGGGAACATACAGAGAGAGAGGGAAAGAGATTAATTATAACCATTATTATTTTTGTAGGCATATTTGATTAATTATATTCAATACCCATTACATAATACGCAGATTGCCTAATAATATGTATTTCCCATACATTTATATATGTAAGTGTCAGAACCTTACGATGCCTTTGTCAACATGTACGTGGCCCCTGTGAACATTTGCGACACACCAGTGTCGGACAAAAACGCAGAAAAAAAAAAAAAAGAAAAAAAAAGAAACGTAACTCGTATCTTACAATACAGCACGACACTGCAATCAATGGAGGGTAGGCCAGCACACTGATCAGAACCTTACGATGCCTTTGTCAACATGTACGTGGCCCCTGTGAACATTTGCGAAACACCAGTGTCGGAAAAAAACGCAGACAAAAAAAAAAAAGAAAAAAAAAGAAACGTAACTCGTATCTTACAATACAGCACGACACTGCAATCAATGGAGGGTAGGCCAGCACACTGCACAACACACTTACAAGTTTACACACGCGGGCTCCCCATTACGCTGAACGGCGGTTTCTGTTTTGAAATCGAAACTAGAAGATGGGAACACCGTAATACACAACTACCGACGGAGGCCATTACAAAACACACACAGGCCAGCACAGAGATGACACTGCTCTCTACATGTCACCAGGTGATAGCACTGATACTGTGAGATACAAGGTAATTGATGCAGTTGTTTCTAGAGCGCTATTTTGTCTTGATTGGCAGGCTGTAAGTGAGATGGTGTGTAGTTTTCAGACCTGTCGGGCTCTTGTGATCCGAATGGTGGGGGGGGGGTAGTCTGAGGTTGTGGTGTTTGTGGTCGCAGGGTCAACCGTTACCATTGTGTGCTTCACAGCTGATGATATTTTTAAGAGAGCTTATTTGAAGGTAAGAGTATGATGTTGGTCACCGTATCTATCGATTTTTTGTTTTGATTTTAACTGGTTCGTAGCGAAACGAAAAGATGACGTCGTGCCGTGTTGTGATACTATTTATAACCGTGACGTCAATCAAAGGTTAAAGGTTGAGGGATGCGATGAGTGGCTATGGTCTACTCAATGGGGGGATGCAACAGGGGGGGGGGGGTGAGAGGGCAATCCATCCCTAGCAGAACTCTGATCTTGATATTTAGCCTTGTATGCAAGGGCGTAGCTTGGATTAGTGCCACCCGGGGCGTGCCAGATTTTTTCCGCCCCACTTCCATGAAGTTGAAAATGCTGCGCCACCATAAAAAAATTAAAGAGAAAAGGAACCCTTCACCTCCCTTACCTACGCCACTGCTTGTAAGGGCGGTATTTTAAAGCAACTGACGAGGTTTTTCGTGAAAACGTGGCGGCAAAATCTTGCCCCGCCCCGGGCGGCAAAATCTTGCCCCGCCCCGAGCGGCAATAGCCCTAGCTACGCCATCGGGCTCTAGTGATGTAGTAACATAATTCGTTGGTTGTGGCCTGAGGCTATACGTTGATGCATGATTCTCATCCAGTTCTGTAATGTAACTGTAATGTGGACGTGGATGTAATCAACAGTACACTGACTGTCATGCCAGAACATCTAAGTTGTGCTATGACAGTTATAGTAATATGTGTGGAACATTATATTGGGATACGAAATAAGTTTCACATTTCAAAAACGGCTATGTTGCTACCACATTATACACTGCCGCATTTCAAGAACGGCTATGTTGGTGCCACATGGTACACTGCCGCATTTCAAGAACGGCTATGTTGGTGCCACATGGTACACTGCCACATTTCAAGAACGGCTATGTTGCTACCACATGATACACTGCCGCATTTCAAGAACGGCTATGTTGGTGCCACATGGTACACTGCCGCATTTCAAGAACGGCTATGTTGGTGCCACATGGTACACTGCCGCATTTCAAGAACGGCTATGTTGGTGCCACATGGTACACTGCCATATTTCAAGAACGGCTATGTTGGTGCCACATGGTACACTGCCATATTTCAAGAACGGCTATGTTGGTGCCACATGGTACACTGCCATATTTCAAGAACGGCTATGTTGGTGCCACATGGTACACTGCCATATTTCAAGAACGGCTATGTTGGTGCCACATGGTACACTGCCATATTTCAAGAACGGCTATGTTGGTGCCACATGGTACACTGCCGCATTTCAAGAACGGCTATGTTGGTGCCACATGATACACTGCCGCATTTCAAGAACGGCTATGTTGGTGCCACATGGTACACTGCCATATTTCAAGAACGGCTATGTTGGTGCCACATGGTACACTGCCATATTTCAAGAACGGCTATGTTGGTGCCACATGGTTCACTGCCGGATTTAAAGAACGGCTATGTTGGTGCCACATGGTACACTGCCACATTTCAAGAACGGCTATGTTGGTGCCACATGGTACACTGTCACATTTCAAGAACGGCTATGTTGGTGCCACATGGTACTCTGCCACACTTCAAGTACGGCTATGTTGCTGTCACATTATACACTACCACATTTCATGTTCGGCTATGTTGCTGCCACATTGTACACGACCACATTTCAAGTTTGCTGCCGCATGGTACACTGCCAAATTTCATATAGATCTGCGGCTATGTCGCTACCACATTGTAAACTGCCAAATTACATATAGATCTGTGACTATGTCGCTACCACATTGTAAACTGCCAAATTACATATAGATCTGTGGCTATGTCGCTACCACATTGTAAATTGCCAAATTACATATAGATCTGTGGCTATGTTGCTACCACATTGTAAACTGCCAAATTTCATATAGATCTGTGGCTATGTCGCTACCACATTGGGCCACCTCAAATTCACATTGGCTACGAAGTCACTTGGTTTAGAAGTCACTTGGCTACGAAGTCACTTGGTTTAGAAGTCACTTGGCTTACAAGTCACTTGGTTTAGAAGTCACTTGGCTTACAAGTCACTTGGTTTAGAAGTCACTTGGCTACGAAGTCACTTGGTTTAGAAGTCACTTGGCTTACAAGTCACTTGGTTTAGAAGTCACTTGGCTTACAAGTCACTTGGCTTACAAGTCACTTGGTTTAGAAGTCACTTGGCCTACAAGTCACTTGGTTTAGAAGTCACTTGGCTTACAAGTCACTTGGTTTAGAAGTCACTTGGCTTACAAGTCACTTGGTTTAGAAGTCACTTGGCTTAGAAGTCACTTGGCTTACAAGTCACTTGGTTTAGAAGTCACTTGGCTTACAAGTCACTTGATTTAGAAGTCACTTGGCTTACAAGTCACTTGATTTAGAAGTCACTTGGTTTAGAAGTCACTTGGCTTACAAGTCACTTGATTTAGAAGTCACTTGGCTTACAAGTCACTTGGTTTAGAAGTCAATTGGCTTAGAAGTCACTTGGCTTACAAGTCACTTGATTTAGAAGTCACTTGGCTTACAAGTCACTTGGTTTAGAAGTCACTTGGCTTAGAAGTCACTTGGCTTAGAAGTCACTTGGCTTAGAAGTCACTTGGCTTAGAAGTCACTTGGCTTAGAAGTCACTTGGCTTAGAAGTCACTTGGCTTAGAAGTCACTTGGCTTAGAAGTCACTTTGCTTAGAACAATCACGCTTCTAAACAGCGTTTAATGGTATTTGTATCAACTAGATAAGATAGCTATATTTATTGTAGACATTCCTATTACGCCTAAGTGATCCAACATGCTCCATATCCCACATTGAAATGTTAGTTGGAAATGTCAAGTACTTAAGTTGACAGATGTTGACTAACTAATGTTATCTGTTAGCGTGTCGTAATTGTTTAGATCCAACTCATTGATTCAGATAAGACAATAGCGATTCGTTACGTGGGGCTCACCTTACAGCCACATCATCAACCCACAATGTCAACCTACCTTATCCAGCCGTATCATTTATCCACAATATCAACCGTTCTATCCAGTCACATCATCAACCAATAATATCACCCTACCTTATCCAGTCATATTATTTATTTACAATATTAATTTCTCTATCCAGCCACATCATGAAACAACAATATCGACCTCGGTTTCCAGCCATATCATCATCTAACAATATCAACCTAACTTATCCAGCCATATCATTTATCCACAAATATTAACTTCTCTATCCAGCCACATAATCAAAACCGACAATATCAATCTACCTTATCCAGCCATCTAATTTATCCATAATATTAAACTGTCTATCAAGCCACATCTGCAACCAACAATATCAACCTGTCTATCAAGCCACATCTGCAACCAACAATATCAACCTGTCTATCAAGCCACATCTGCAACCAACAATATCAACCTGTCTATCAAGCCTGTCTATCAAGCCACATCTGCAACCAACAATATCAACCTGTCTATCAAGCCACATCTGCAACCAACAATATCAACCTGTCTATCAAGCCACATCTGCAACCAACAATATCAACCTGTCTATCAAGCCACATCTGCAACCAACAATATCAACCTGTCTATCAAGCCACAACTGCAACCAACAATATCAACCTGTCTATCAAGCCACATCTGCAACCAACAATATCAACCTGTCTATCAAGCCACATCTGCAACCAACAATATCAACCTGTCTATCAAGCCACATCTGCAACCAACAATATCAACCTGTCTATCAAGCCACATCTGCAACCAACAATATCAACCTGTCTATCAAGCCACATCTGCAACCGACAATATCAACCTGTCTATCCAGCCACATCATCAACAAAATCAAGCCGTGTTATCAACTCAATGTTTCAGTGCTTCTCACAGAAATCGCTTTCAGAACGCGATGATCATTCTAAAACAAATATCTTTACACTCGTCAACATCTTAGTTTACAAACAACCTTACAATCTTTACAAACAACCTAACAATCTTTACAAACAACCTTAAAATCTTTACAAACAACCTTACAATCTTTACAAACAACCTTACTATCTTTACAATCGACTTTTCCAATTTTTTAAATCGAGGCGAATTATCCAACTCTATTTAACACTTGAACAAACACAAACAAACTAAAAAAACAAACAAAAACCACTCTCCGTTTCTCAACGTCACGGCCTGAAGAAACGTACAAACTTAAACATTTTTTAAGGAACTCAATATTCTTGGGAAAGCGGGGAAAAGACATGCTTGGTTCCAGCTCGTCAATGCTAAGACTTCTTTATATTGCAACACACCACCGGTGGCTAGATCAATAATTTGTATGTGTCCTGTGTCATAACACAATGGTATTCGTTGAAAGATTTGACGTGCAAGAGAGATACGTGATATATTCTTTGACAACTTCTGCTTTCAAAGTAACAGAGGCGTAACGAAGAAAGGGGGGGGGGCAGGGGGGAGACACATGTCCCCGGGTGCCAGCTAGTTAGGGGCGGCAATATGTGATTTGATATTATTTTATTGGTGCAAATAACGGGTTTGAGATTTGAAAAAAAAGAAAAGGGGGCGCTTTAAAATGAATCTTGTCCCTGGGCGCGAACCTCGTCACCGGGCGCCAAACTCTCTCGCTACGCCCGCTGCAAAGTTATAAACTGTTATAGTTTATTATTTTTATTTTTATAAAAGTTGCGATTATATGCATTTTTAGTAAAACATTTCATTTCAGATCTAGCCGGGCCTTAAACAATTGACAGAGGTCGATTCTTCCATCATTTTATCTGGTAAAGATTGAAATTAATAAGTGGCTTGTCCCTGCAACATTCGTTCCCCACTGCCCCGCCTCCCGCCAACCCCCCCCCCCCAAGACCTAATCAGCGCACTAACGAAGCCCCAGTCTAACACAGGAAAGAGTCCCTTGAAATTGAATCAAACTGGTACCCGTTAAATTAATCAATAGAATAGCTTCGCCCCCCCCCCCCACACACACACACATAATGCCCTGCGTGTGGAAACCAATGTCTAGAAGTGTTGTCTTTATAATATTTAGAAAGAACCTTTATTTTTTTAACCGACTTCCATCAATTTGTCTAAGTACGTACATGATATAGAGAAAAAAAATTCTGGGCTGGAACTACTTTCTGTGGTTGAAAAAAAAAGCACACACAAAAACCAATGTCGTCATAGATTCATTTAAAATTGTTGAGTTCAACGCAACTTAGGAAGCGGATCCGATCTTTCCACCGTTAGCTGCGTGCTCGCGACGTATGCACTCAGTGAGCAGTTGGGCTGGGGCTGGATCCCGTACAACATGGGAGGGGTTGCTGGACCGATAGATAACATTAGGAAGTAAGGCATGTAAGTATAGCAAACATGGATTTTTTTTTCTTTCTTAGATGAGAAAAAAGCTGTTTATCTTTAGACCCTTCGTGCAAATTCTAAACAACAGCATCAACTATTTCTTGAGATTTTTATCAATAATGTGAATTCCTTTTGAAAAATCGACAGCCCCGCCTAAAATCTACCGTGTCCACCGGCGCCGACTTTGAGACCCACTGACCTAATGCCACTTTGATAATGTACTTACTTGCCCAATTCACCGTGTTACCAGATATGTGACGTTTTCTTTATTAAGGCTGTGTAACTCTTCCATTTCAGAACTGTGACACCCACATCTAGCCGTCCTGGTACTGAAGCGGCGCTACTTAGTCTTATTACAGGCCGCTGGTCAGCAGCTTCCGGGTCACAGTGCTATTTGAACCAAGGTACCAGCTATGGCGTCCTTCCAAGATCATCAGTTCATCTTATTGCCGGCTGCGCAGTACATACTCTAGAGCAGAGGAACGTCTGCTGCTGGTATCTTTAGGTATACTAGAAGGATACGTCTGGGATACTACCTGTCATTAAGTACAAATCCTGGACCAGCGATGTTGGATGCGAACGTTTAGGAAGTAAATTAATTTTAATCAAGCTACCTGCTAAAGGGTCCTTACTGGATAAAGCTACCTGCTTCAGGGTCCTAACTGGATAAAGCTACCTGCTTTAGGGTCCTAACTGGATAAAACTTCTTGTTAATGGGTCTCCCATAAACAAAGTGTCTGCAATCAGGTCATACTCAGAAAATTTACCCACGGTCCGGTCCTGCTTGGAAATATTACCCGCTATCAACTTCTTGATGTACAAATTACCATCCTTCAAGTACTACCTGGATCAAGTACCTGCAGTCATACCGTACCTAGATCAAGTACCTGCAGTGAGCACCTACCTGGATCAAATATCTATGTATAGCTCCTAGCTCGACAAAGTGCTTGCAGCCAGCTCCTACCTGGACAAAGTGCTTGCAGTCAACTCCTACCTGGACAAAAGTAGTTGCTGTTAGAGTGAAATCTTGATAAAATTCCAACAGAATTATAAAACATTTCCGCGACACTGTTCATGAAAATTCCCCCCGCCAAGTTTGTTTCGAAATGAGCTTCCATCCAGCACGCTACAGTAGCCCCATCAACTACCAGGGCAATTTCTACAAACAATCTTGGTACCCCCCTCTTTACGGCGCACATCCGCCCCCGTACGGAGTTCCGCGACCCCCTCTTCCTCCCCAACCATTTCTATACAATGAAACCCCACACCCCTTCGGCGGGGGGTTCTACTATGGTTCCGATTTCTCGGCACCCGCCCTTTCGCCGGCGTTTTTGCCGACCGACTTCAGCATTCCACCTCCCAATCTCCCCTTTCGTACCGTCACACCTCAGAGCGGAGAACCCGGCAGCCCCAGTATCAAACCCGGTATTTCGTCACTAGCCTCAACACCTTCAAACCTGCACAAGTTTTCACCTGACGCCCCTGTGTTCGTACCGAAGTCGCAGCATCAACATCCGGTGACGTCCAGCGGGGATTTCCAAAACAATCTGCGGACTCAAGTAGTCGGCAGACACAATGGCGAGTTCAGATCCGGACGCCTTCAAAAAGACGACACGGTCGGCGGTGCTGGAGACCTCCAGAATGGCTGCGCTACTGAGACGCCAGGGAAACACAACGAGACAAAGGGACCAAACTATAAGCATTCCAATAACAACTACCACGCCAACAGATACCCAAAATTTCAGCAGCACGGTCAACACAATGATGTCCAGAACCATAATGGATATCCTCCTCATAAATTTCAATCACGTGACCTGCACGAGATCCCGTCCGGTGACGTCGGCAAAACTATTGGCGGTGCCGGCGGAAGAGAACCGTTTCGTAAGAATAAAAACTCGGTGGCTCAGATGTTAAAGAAATCGTCGAACGTACCGCGCGCGCCTTGGCACGACGTCTCAGAAGACACCTCGCCGTCTCCACCGCTTGACGATGATTTCTGTTCCAGGGACTCGTCCCCGAAATCTTTCAACGGGCAAAGGGACAAACTCGAGCAGGAAAATGCCCATCCCGACCGAGGGTTTAACGCTGAAGATTCCTCACCACAAAACATCGAGAACACGACACGCAGTTTTAATGGACCGCTCCGGGAAACCCCCGAATATGCCCAAACGTTGAACGGTTCCCGCTCTTCGGTCAAGGACAGGCAGCACGGCCACAGATCCTGTGATGAAATAAACACCGTGGAGTATTACAACAGTTCGATCAGGTCCAGCGGGAGTTACGAGCATCCCAGGTACAGCCGAGGGCGTGGCGGTTATCGGGGGGCGTTTGCGAGAGGGCTTGCCCACGAAGTGTCGTTTTCTGGAGTTGGGAATGATAGGTACGGCCACAGGGGCTACAGCAGAGATGACAGCCACGGGGGCTACAGCAGAGATGACAGCTACAGGGGCTACAGCAGAGATGACAGCCACGGGGGCTACAGCAGAGATGACAGCTACAGCAGAGATGACAGCCACAGAGGCTACAGCAGAGAAAACAGCCACAGGGGCTACAGCAGAGATGACAGCTACAGGGGCTACAGCAGAGATGACAGTCATGTTAATTTCAGGGGAAAGTATCGGGGGAATCACCCGTTCTCCGCTGGGAGCAGGGGCGACTTCCGCGAGAGAGTGATGCCAGAAAGTAATGAGTGGGAAAGGACGGAGATGTTTCATGGAAGCGGAAGCAGTGGCACTTATTCAAGCAGGCACAATAGGAGACCAGTTGACCACGACGAGTATGCTGAACAAGACTTTAACAACCACCGTTCTGAAAAGGGCTCCCGCCGAAACCCTCGTTTCGACAGTGCCCATGCAGCACGCGGGGACCACAGCGACTATGTTCAACAAGACTTAAACAGCCAGCGCTCTGATCGGGGCTCTCACCAAAAACCCCGTTTCGACAGTACTCATTCATCTCGCGGGGTAACTCGGAGGGTGCAGTATGAGCACGTGACCCCAAGCCACGAAATTCGAGATCAAGTCCATCCCGCCCATAAGAATGAAGTCGATCAGCGCCGCCATGTAGCAAGACCCCACCACGGCGATGAGGGATACAGATCAAGGGTCAAGGACTGGTCCGCCAAGCAAAAGAAAACACGGGATGGGCAACAACAAGACCCCGCTACTAGACAGGAACCCGCGGATGATCTAGAGACGAAATTGGCCAAAAATAGAATGAGTTCCCGTCAGAAAATGCTGCTCCTGGATGATTACAACAGCGACTTGAACCTCATCGTGGACGCCAACGGGTACGGTGCTTCTGCCCTTGACAATCCCGATGGCTTTTTAAGGCTGTGGGCCGACATCAAAGCCACACATGGTGCCGGTAAAGGTAGGCTGTACTTTGAGGTCAAGGTCATTGAACTCCTCCGTGCGGAGGACGTCGAAAAAACCGACCCTTGTCCGCATGCCGTGCGCGTCGGGTGGTCGACCGAGCGGTCCACATTCGAAGACGGCACCGGTTCGTGGTGCTTGGATTACCACGGGAAGACTGAATTCATTGAGGGTCGGGGCTACTGCGAGAGTTCTCAAGCAGAAGATGTCCTCGGCGCCATCTTGGATCTGGAGTCCCGCCCGGCCACCGTCACGTTTCTCAAGAACGGCGTCGCTGAGGGCGACCCATCGATCCTCGCGGACTTTCCACCGGTGGATCCAGCCACGGCTCTGTTCCCTCACATCTCGTTAAAAAACTCTAAGGTCAGGGTCAATTTCGGTCAGCGCGATACCGCGTGGTTTCCACCTCCAGAGGGCACCAGCTTCATAGGGCAGGTGCCCATGGAAGATTTGGTCCCAAGCTTATCGCCACCGGAGAGGAAATCTGATTGCGAGATCGTCATGCTCATCGGTCTTCCCGGCTCCGGCAAGACAACGTGGGCGCTGCGGCACCAGCGGGAACACCCGGAGAAGCGCTACAACATCCTCGGAACGGACCAGCTCATGGAACTCTTGAACTGCGACACAAACGGAACCGGCTACTCGACAATGTTTCACCAGTTCAAGGACGTTGCGAAGAGCTGCTTTGAGCGGCTGCTGAAAATCGCCGCCATGAAGGTGCGCAACTACGTCATTGATCAGACCAACGTCTACCGGTCGGCCAGGCGTCGGAAGCTCAGCGGATTCACGGCGTTCCGGAAGATCGCGGTCGTCATCCAGCCGAGCAATGGCGAGCTGTCCCGGCGCTCGAAGGAACGGACGCTGGGCAGCGGTAAGACCGTGCCCGAGGGCGTGCTGAGGGACATGAAGGCCAACTTCGCGTTGCCCGACGAGGACGCGGAGTCGTTCCACGTCATTGAGTACGTCTGTTTGCAGGAGAACGACGCGCGGGAGCTGGTCGAATCGTACAACGTCGAAGGTCGGCGGAACAAGCCCTTGCTCTCGTTGGACTGATGCATAATAACAGAGTTTTGACGCCTAAAACAAACGAGCAACTTGTTGTTTTGAATGCTGTTCAAACTGTTTTGAATATCAATAACAACAACAACAAAAATAGATTTCTTTTCAAATGCTCCTCAATGTCAATCATATCATGAAAACATTTGAGATTTTAAAATTGGTCATCCGTCCGACTTCAAGAGACGATGTTGAGGTTTGGCTGTAAATCTCCCTGGCAAAGCTGCGAACCTAGGCGTGTTTTTTATGGAGAATCAACTGTTTCCCATCGACAGTGCGCGATGTGATCTAACTTAAAATTCAGCGTACAACATACAGTATACAACTCCTGTGCACAATTACGCATAAATTCACTACGTTGTCTGTAAATAATCATTACGCCTACCTTCGATTGAGAACTCAGAGAGAGACAGTAACTAAGGCGTAAGTCCTTCTTATTCAATATCAATCGTTCTCCCTACACGAGAAACAGATTTTTAATGAACATGTTTCAGAAAGAATGTTCTTTTAAGCAGCTAATGTATAAATGTTTGTAAATACACATTGTAAAAAACGTATAAAAATGTAATTAAAAAAAAAAAAAAGCTTATAGTAACATAATATGCAAGCGTCAGTGCGCGCGATAAAATTCCTTTTAATTTAGCTTTAATTGACCGTCAAATTGTTGTATGTACGCACTGTTTTGTGCATGGTTTCCTTTCTTGGACAAAAATAAGAATTTGATCAAATACTAATTTGAAAGTTGTGAGAAGGATTCCTACAAAAATCGCATCAAATTTTTTGAATGAAAATTTGAAAGGAATTTGATCGTGTGAACTGAGCCTAAGTGAACTATTTTTGTTTCTTTATGCTCCTTGTAATTGTTGGAAAGCCATGACATGTTAAACAGACTTTTACCACGAATCCAGTTAATTCGGTTGTTGCCAAGGACATATTTTTTGTTGTCCGTTGCCATAGTTTGGCTTGTGTTGGGGGAGGGTGGTGATGGGGGTGTCGGCTTCACCCATATAAACCGCTAATTCCTATGGAATCATACACACACACACACAAAATGTACGCACACAATGTCAGCACCTTAACATGCAAGCGGCGCGCGGCGTTCACTGGGTGTGTCACGAAATGTTGATGTCAATGAATCACAACATAATCACTTTCAATATGTAGATCTAGGGTGTCGTAAGATGAAAATTTTTTGGGAAAAAAAAACATGTTATTTTTATCATGAAATATATTATCATTTTGTAAATATCTTCAGACGCGTGGTAAAGTTTCTGTCAGTCTGATGTTGGTGTTATTTTTCACTTTTACATTAAATTTCCAAACACCCATAGATCCACTGGTGTAATGTAATGGGTGAAATGGTTGAATAAGGGAGACTGGTGGGATAAGGGAGACTAGTGGAATAAGGGAGACTGGTGGGATAAGGGAGAGTGGTGGGATAAGGGAGACTGGTGGGATAAGGGAGACTGGGGGGATAAGGGAGACTAGTGGTAGAGAGAGTCTAAAAAAAAACGAACCATTTTTTAAAACAACCCCCCCCCCCCCCAAATTATTTTCTAGGGCTATATTTCTATTCAAGAACGGGGCGTTGGCCCAAGCCCTATCTTTAACAATATAAACGTGACATTTTTGGCTGCGCGTTACAATAGGAGGGTCAAGACGTGGTGTTGTGGTCTTTTGATCTTAGCTGGTGAGATATGAACCCGGTGTGGCTCAGCTGTGAGTGCTAAACATTTTGTGATATTTGAATGTCTACAAATCGACATTACTGTGGCTTACCTGATGCTGTGATATATCATACTTTTCTCTGTTAATGTTATGTTTTAAGACTGCTTTCTTGATCGTTGTGCGCCTCATTTGAACGGTGCGCACCAGTTGTTTGCATTGGGTGTGCTCCATAAACTGATTTCAGGCCTGAAAAGTTACTGGTCTATTGCGTTCTATTGTTCATTAATACAAATATCATTTAATATCTTCTATTGGGTTGCCCGTATTATAATATAGTATACAGAATTTTTTAATTTGTTTTTTTTTCCTTTTCAAATTATGTTTGTCTTTTTAATTTAAGGGGTTAAGATGGGGTCTCCAAAAGCCGAGTCTGGAATGGACAAAGGCTTCTGGAGGAATGTGCTATGCAAGGCACATCTTTCTGTTACCACGGCTTTTATAACCCAATCAGCTATAAATAGACGCACACTGGTGGTCTACCCCCAGGGCAGGAGGGAACAAGGAAGTCTTTGGAAGACTCGAGGAAAATACTCTGTGGAAAAAAATGTGGATATCGAGCTTAAGATTGTTGTGAAAGATGATATCACACTTAGGCAAGTGGATGATGGCACACATAGGCAAGTGGATGATGGCACAAATAGGCAAGTGGATGACGGCACACATAGGCAAGTGGATGACGGCACACATAGGCAAGTGGATGACGGCACACATAGGCAAGTGGATGATGGCACACATTGGCAAGTGGATACCGATAGTTACAAAATGTACAGGCTTTAGGGCGTGGTGGGGCTACAAGACTTAAGAGCAACTAATTGCTCTCTTCCATGGGTTGTACATTCACGAACACATTAAATAAAACCATTTACTTTTGATGACAAGCCGTGGCTGGCTATCAAACACACTGTTGTAGTGCCTCTTGGGGAATGCTATCATTACGCCCAAGTTCGCGCCACAGTTCACAAATGAAACGTGTTCTTTTAGTGGTGTGGCCTTGGACGTTCTGTTAACATTGTTTTTTTTTGTTTTTTTTAAAGCATGACTTTCAAGAAGGGACACCACCTTCCCCCCCCCCTAAACACGCCAAAGGTCAAAACAGCCCACCTCAGTGTGGGGTAGTACAGCTCGATTGATTAAGCTAAGCTGACGTACGAGGTTTTTTGAAGACGTCTTCTCAAATTCTTCCCCATCACACTTTGTTGAATGTTTGTCTGTTTTTTAATTTATTATTATAATTTTTTTTTTTTTAAATCGAGTGATAAGTATTATCTGAGTTCACTGAATGAAAAGTTTTTCACGTTTGTTGTATGACTGATAACATTCTTATTTATGCTTTGTCTGTTGGTTTTAATTTAATCTTATCTTTTATTTCTTAAAAACAAAACAACAAATAATAATAATAATAATAATAAAACAATTTAATTCAATTCTTGAGTGTGTCTGTGTGTCCCGTTTAGCTGATCAAATCATGTGTCTCTTTTTAAAAAAAATGTTATTAAAGTTTTCTAAATGATGAGCCATGTGGAGACAACCGTGAAATAAAGTAAAGCAATATTTTTCTTTAAGGATAAATTCCCTTTTTAAAAAAAAATTAAGTTATTTTTTGAGAAACATTTTCTAGATTAAATGAATCCTGTAGTGTAGTTCACATCGTTTGCAATATCCTTTAAGTTCGATGGACCAGTTTCCCATTGTACCAGGGACCAGTGACAATGTTTAATTTTTTTTTCTTTTAAATTGTAACCTTAAATTAATTTTAAAAAATTATCGACTTCCCAGAAAAGACGAGTTTAAGCGAATTAAAACGTAGAAAATAATTAACACTATCTTCAAATGCATTTCGCAAAGAGAAGAAGGTGGAGCAAATATTTTAAAAAATTAATTAGAATAAAAAACTGCACGCGACAGACGATCAACTGAGCGAAAAAGTCACGTGTGTCAATGGAAATGCGAGTATCTTTATTAATAAAAATTGTATGATCCCAAACAGTGAAAATTATTCCTAAGCACACTCGCCCACCCAAAACTATCCTTATAAAACAGCGGTTCTCATCTACCTGTGGGTCGCGACCCCTTTGGGGGGTCGAACGACCCTTTCTCAGGGGTCCGGAAGACCATCGGAAAACACATGTACTTTCCAGTTATAACGTAGCAACCAATATAATTTTGTGGTTGGGGTCGCCACAACATGAGGAACATTATTTAAAGGGTCGCGTCATTAGGAAGGTTGAGAACCACTGTTATAAGACACCCATCCTCCGCCGTGCTGACGTCTTACTGTAATCACCCAGGAACAGTTCTAATTACATTTCTAAAGCAACCGAATCTCATCAGTCAAATGCGCGGCCCCGACTTGATGTGAATTAATAAATATTACGAATAAAAGCAGAAATTTCGCGTCTGCTAATTTCTCACACACCTGCGCTGGGCTCTCGTGCTAGCGCGTGATTTAGGGCCGCCGGCACGCGCCGGGCGCTCGCTCTCGTGAGCACAGCTCAGACATCGGTTCTCCCCCGCCCCCCCTCCAGCCATCGCCCCCCAAAACTCCTCCGCCCCCACCTCCGCACACGATTTATCTTTGTCTCTTATCTCTCTCTCTCTCTCCCTCTCTCTATCTCTCTCTCTCTCTCTCTCT